CCCGTGGGGCTGCGTCCCGGATCAGGCGGAGGGGTCCGGCGAGGGGGCGGCATTTATTCACTCCCCGTACTTGTCAGGCTCCCCACTGGGCACCGGAGACACCAGAAACACCAGAAACACGCCAGGCAGGTGGTGAGCGCATCCTACCCATAACTGAAAACAGGCCCCTGAGGCTGGGCTCCGTGGCTCAGCCTGCCATCCCGGCGCTTTGGGAGGCCAAAGCGAGAGGAGTGCTTGAGCCCGTGGGTTCAAGACCAGCCTGAGCAACACGGCGAGACCTCGTCTCTACCACAGATCAAAAATTAGCCAGGCGTGGTGGCGCGCGCCTGTAGTTCTGGCTACTTGGAAGGCTGAGCCCTGCAGGTTGAGGCCGTGGTGGCCCGGAGTGTGTCACTGCACTCCAGTCTGGGTGACAGCGTGAGATTCCAACTCAACAAAAAATAAAAAAATTAAAAAGGCCCCTGGAATCCCAGGACTTTGGGAGGCGAAAATAAGAGAACTGTCTGAGCCCAGGGATTCCAGACCAGCCAGGGCAACTTGGCGAGACCTCATTTCTACAATAAATCAAAAATTAGCCAGGCGAGGTGGCATATACTTGTGGTTCCAGCTACTCGGAAGGCTGAAGCAGAAGGATCGCCTGAGCCCAGAGGGTCGAGGCTGCATGCCACTGCACTCCAGTCTGGACGACAGAGTGAGACTCCGACTCAAAAAAAAAAAAAAAAAGCTGTGGAACTGAAGGGATGTGTGACATCCCAAATATACTGCATGTCACCGAATTGCAGGCTTTAATATGGCACTGTTTATGTGAATTTCTTCTCTCTTCGAGAAGAAAGCAGACTCTCAGCTCTAGCTATTTTGTGTTTCTCTCTTCGCCTCGAGGGCACACTCAGTCCTTCCCTGGGACAACCCTTCTCCTCCGTCAGAGGATGAAGAGGCTGGTGTATCTGCTGCCCCTCCAGAGTCTTCCTGAACCGACTCTACCGGTGATCTTCTCTCACTTCGGCAGAGGAGCCACCAGCCAAGTGTTCCCCACCCACTCCATGCCACCCACCCCCAACATCTCAAAGGAGGTCTCTTGACCAAGGGAGTGCCGGCTTCCCTCCCTGGCGCTAAGCCTCTGTGGACACCGAAGTCCTGGACTGAGACTGTTCCTCAGACCCTCGCTCCACCCCAGCCACCATGGTTCCCAAGGAAGAGATTTCACCTCAGCATCAGAGATCTCGAGTCCCAGCGTGAACTGAGGAGAGAGAGGCTGGACACAGTTGCAACACAGACCACCCCAAGGGCTTCTTCTGAGCTTCCTTCTCCCTCCCCAAATTTCAGAGCCCGATTCCAGAACCTGGTTTGTCATTCTTTTTTTTTTTCGAGTTGGAGTCTCACTCTGTCGCCCAGACTGGAGCACAGCGCCCGCTCCCGGCCACCGCAGCCTCGACCTGCTGGGCTCCGGCGATCCTTCTGCCTCAGCCTTCCAAGTAGCTGGAACTACAGGCATGTGCTACCACACCCGGCTAATTTTTTGATTTATTGTAGAGATGAGGTCTCACCAAGTTGCCCAGGCGGGTCTCGAACCCGCAGGCTCAGGCAATCCACTCACCTGGTTTGTCATTCTAATCCCAGATCCCATCTCCCGGCCCTGCCCCTTCCCCACCTCCTCCCAGCAACAGATTGCTTTCAATTTGGAAAGCCTATGGAGGCAGCAGAGATCGATCTGAGAGCCCTTCCCACAGGCCAAGGCAGACTGACTCATGCACCGGCCAGAGCAACAATGACAGTGGAACCTGAAGACAGAAGCTTATTGTGTGTGGAGGGGAAGGAGGCCACGGTCCCTGTCCTGTGACACTGACTGTGTTCAGCCGTGGGATGCCAGGGACAGATGCGTGTCCCCTCGGGACAGCTGAGGCCCAGAGGCCTTGCTGAGTGCCAGAGGGCAGGGGCAGAGAAAAGACAAACAGAACACAGCAAAACCACAAGACAGGGAAAGGCCATCCAGTTCTTCCAACCCTAGGCTCCAGACTACAACAGGGCCAGAAAAGAGAGATGCCGTGGTGGAAGAGGCCAGAGGCCCTCAATCAGCTCTCTGGTGGCCCGTCCAGGGAGGCTTCATGTCTCAGCCGGCACTTCCAGAAGAAGAGTAATAAACATCCATGGCAGAACCCAAGGGACCCTTCAGAATCTCGCAAACCTCCCTAAAATGCTGGGAAGCTGCTGAACAAACCATACGCCGGAACCTCCAGAAAGTTCTTGTTCTTGAGACCTACACCAACAAATGGAACAGGGAGGAAGAAACAAAGACATCTTTCTCGTCCAAACATACACTGTCCAAACATACACTCTCCACGCCTCTGACACCCTGGGCTTCAAGTGGGAGGATCTTAGCCAGAGGGTGAGCTTAGAAAGTAAAGAAATAAAGCCAAAGGCAAACCGCAAAGGGAGACCCTGCCTCACACACACCTGGGGTTAGATACCGAAAGGTCTTTATTGCCCATTGACCAACAGTTTCCCAGTCATGTGCTGGGCCCTCAGGGTCTCTCCAGCCCACTCCAAGGACCCATGAAATGTAGCCACAGTCCAGCTCTCTCCTTCTGGGGGACCAAGGTGTTCCCTGGGGCATGCGACACAGCAGAAGGGCCTCTGGGTGAGGGACAGGAGGACTAAGCAGCATTCCTTGTGGGAGACAACAGAAGAGGAGCCCTCTGGGCAACCCTGATGGAGGGAGGGCTGCCCCCAAAGGGGGCGGGGTGGGAGGGGCTTCCTGAGTTACGTTGGGATGACCCCAGTGGCAAAGAGCACGATGAAAAGGATGAAGATGAAAACCACCACGCAGATGAGGACGATCATCTTCATGTTCTTCCACCAGAACTTCCGAGCCACCTTCTGCGACGTTGTCTTGAAGTGCTCGGACTGTTGGGGAGGAGGCAGAGTGAGTGGCCCCGTGGCTCCTCCCACAGAACAAGAGGACACATGAGGCCCACATGCCAGGCAGCTAAATATTTACACTGTAAGTTGAGGTAACAGACTGCAAAATAGAAGATGCAAAGTAGAAGATCTTCCTACCTTGACAAAGACCCCTTCCTAATAATCTGGAGGACCAGGTTAAAATTTAGAATTGTCAGCCGGGCTTAGTGGCTCAGCCTGTAATCCCAGTGCTTTGGGAGGCCCCGGGGCAAGTGGATTGCCTGAGCCCGCGGGATCCAGACACCGAGACATCGGGGCAACTTGGTGAGACCTCCTCTCTGCAATCAATCAAAAATTAGCTGGGCATGGTAGTACACGCCTGTAGTTCCGGCTACGCTATTTGGAAGGCTGAGACAGAAGGATCGCTGGAGCCCAGCAGGTCGAGGCTGCGGTGGCCAGGAGCGTGCCACTGCACTCCAGTCTGGTAGACTGAGTGAGACTTCGACTCAAAAAAAAAAAATTAGAATTTTCAGGCTCCTAGGAGGTCTCTACCTGAATATGTCAGGAGTTCCCTATCTGCTCTTACTCCTTCACTGTCATGCACATTGAGGGATCTTTTACACACGCAGCTTCTTTTTTTTTTTTCTTTTTTTTTGAGTCAGGGTCTAACTCTGTCGCCCAGGCTGGAGTGCAGTCGCACGATCACAGCTTGCCGCAGTCTGGAGGACCTGCTGGGCTCAGATGATCCTTCCACCTCAGCCTTCCAAGTAGTGGGAACCATAGGCACGTGCCACCACACCCAGCTAGTTTTTTGATTTATGGTAGAGACGAGATCTTGCCAATTTGCCCAGGCTGATCTTGAACTCCTGGGTTCAGGCAACCCTCTCCCCTCAGCCTCCGAAGGCATGGACCATCGTGCCCGGCCATAGGCAACTTTTAGAGTGGCAAACACAACCTGCCCCTGGGAGGGCGGACCCTGGGGCTGAGGGGTGCAGGCTCCCAGGGGACATATCTCCCAGCTCCACCATGCCCCATGGGGACCGCTGAGGCTGGAATACAAGACAGAGTGTCGGAAGTGAGGAACTCCTCTTCCTCCCACTCCGAGTTGCAGAATGCAGTTCCCCTGGGTCACGCTCCCCAGATTAAGTGGCAGGAAGCACCAGGGAGCCAGGGAGGCAAAGGAGCGAAACCCGAGGTTACACAGAGGATTCAGAAAGCCACAGCCCGTCTCTTCCCACCAGTCGTGGAACCCGAGGCGCCAGCATTTGCTGAACTTCGGAGCTCCTCCCTCCCTGAGCAGCTGGCCTCCGCCCCTAGCTGGAGAGAGACAAGAATGAGGCCTAGCAAGATGAGTGGGAGATAGTTTTCTAGCCTTCAGAGGACAGAGGACCCTGAGATCAAAGAAGTCTCCTGCTCTTTCCAGCTTCTTTTTCAAGCTGACTCAGCAAGACTCCCGCAGTTTTCCACCCCCTGACTCACAACTCCTAGAGAGAGCCAAAGGCCCTGGGGGGATATCTCCCGAGCCAACATTTCTGCCTGGGGAGGTCAGATCCAGATGACTGTCAAGGGCGGGCTTCAAAGGGAAAATCAGTTTCCTAGGAGAGAAGCCTAAGAATGCACAGCACGACTGGGCTGTCCCCCAGAAAAATACCTCTGTGGGTCAGGCCCCCACCCTGAGCCCCAGCCTTTGGGCCTGTTCCTGGACTCCATACCAATCGGTAGAATGGAATCAGAAGCAGGGCTCAGCTCACATTAGCTTCCAAAACAGGTCCTAGAGAGCAGAAGCGGCCCACCGCGTCCCTCCCCTCGCTTTGTCCCACCAAGGATCCCCCCCCACCCCCCAGTTCTCCCTCCAGCCCTGCAGGCGCCCCCTCACTGTGGCCTCCAGGTCCTCTGTCTTGTTGCGGAGCTGATCCAAGTTTTCGCCTCGGGCCAGGATCCGCTCCACGTTCTGGGTCATGATATTCTTGACACCCTCCACCTCACTCTGCAGGTCCCGAACGCGGTCATGGCCTCCACCTCCGCTGGCTTCCTCCTGGCCAGCAACACGGGAGTTCATTAGACCAAGCGGGGAAGAGAAAGGGTGAGGTCTGAGGTGGGCGTAAGCTTTTTGTGAAGCTTGGGTTGTTTACAAAGAGAACGTTTGTGTGGATTCCTCGTGTAATCAAACACGAATGCACTTTTAAGTTCCAGGTGAGATCTGATGCTGAACAGAGGAGCTCAAACTTCTTCTGGGTCTCAGGGCCCCTGACAAGGACCAGCACACACACACCACGAATCCCTCCCCAGTGCTTCCTTGTTCTGGAAGACAGCACAGTTGACATATCCCAGTGCCCACCTGCAGTACAGCGCCCACCTCTGTTCACCAGTTCTCAAAGCCACCATGCTGCTGATGCCATGGGGTCCTCATCAAAAGAATCCATGCTGGCAAGAATGCCCTCACCTAGCCTGACCCGTCTCCAAGTGGCTGGGCCTCCTGGGCAGTCGACCCGTGGCTCTAGCTCGTAGCTCCTTGCTGGGACTGAGAGCCACAGGTGGCTGGGTCCCCCCCAAGGCGCCCGGGCCGTTGGGCCACACACTTCTGCTTTCCCCACTGCTGAGCACCACGCAGGCCCCCACCACCGCCTGCTGGTGCAGATATTAAATGAAAACACCCGCCTGGGCGTGGGGGGAAGTTGAGGACAAGTCCTCCCTGGCGGATGCCTCATCCCGGAGGCTTCATGACATGGTTTTTGAACCAGGAGGGAAAAAAACATTATTGCGCTCCTCTCTCCCTGACCTCTAGAAACAGGCCAGGAGTGTGGGTCGAACCAGATGATCACACTCTCTGGCTCTTTTACAAGCCCTTAGCTCTCTCTTCCTCACGTTAGTGGGGAAGGGACTGACTCCTTGGACTCACAGATCCTTCGGGTTTCTGTGTAGGGCTAACGTGAGCAGCCCGGCGCGGGGGATTGCCTGCCGCGGGACTGGAATCTGAGCTGGGAACAGCCCGCAGAGGCGCTGCCCGGCAGTGTCACAATACTGGGCTCGGGCTCGCCAAGGAGAAGGTGGAGGGTGGCAAGAGCTCTTGGCCTGAACTCTGGGTCCCCACCCCCACCGAAGCCCCGCTCCAGACCAGCACAGAGGTCAGGGGAGGGAGGCGACTAAGAAGGGCAGGAACGCCCGCCCAGACGGCTCAGGGCTATTTGCAGCCAAGTTGTCAAAGAAGAGAAGCCACAGGCAGCGCCGGCTCAGCCCTCTCACTCTCCACAAACTCTCCTTCCCGGCGTGGCCAGCCCATCCGGAAGTCCCCCGGGCCCCCCTAAGTCAGCCCTCTCCCAGTTCCCAGTCGGCTCACCATGTCTTGGAGCAGCTCGGGCCTGTGGCAGCCGAAATCGCCTAGTCTGCTTCCTCCCGGGGCGGCCCTCTGTTCACTTCCTGCTTGCTCCAACTTTCGGCCCGTCCCCGCCCACCTCGCATCGCATCCCATCCCGAGCAGTTCCAGCCACACCTTGCGCAGGTTTCCCCAGGTAGGCGGGCACCTTTGCTGGCCTCTCTGCACCTCTGTCGCCTCCCAAGCCAGAGCTTAAAGGGACAGGGCTCCCGTGTGCCAGAGATCTTCTAACTTGTTAGGAACGGGATAGGAAACACCAAGCAGCGCTCCTAGGTTGCCGGAGGCTGGACCTTCTGGTCTAGAAAAGGTAGCCGTGGCCAGGGTGGTGGCTCAGTCTGTCATCCCAGCACTTTGGGAGGCCGCGGAGAGTGGATTGCCTGAGCCTGCAAGTTCAAGACCTGCCCGGGCAACTTGGTGAGACCTCGTCTCTACAGTCAATCAAAAATTAGCCAGGCGTAGTAGTGCGCGCCTGTAGTTCCAGCTACTTGGAAGGCCGAGGCAGAAGGATCGCCGGAGCCCAGCAGGTCGAGGCTGCAGTGGCCGTGAGCGTGCCACTGCTCTCCAGTCTGGGCGACAGGGTGAGACTCTGACTCAGAAAAAAAAAAAAAGATAGCACAAGCAATGCGCCTAGCACAGAATGAAGGCTCACCAACCCTGCTTCCTTCCAGAGTCCAGGAGTTCTGCATTTCCCTTAGGGGCCACCACAGGGGAGCCTGAACCCAGTCAGCGATAAGAGGACTACCCCATCGGCCAGAGCTGGGGCCCAGGGTAAAGGATTTTTCCACCAACCTGGCTTTAAGCCAGAGAAAATCTGTCCTTCCGGGATGGTGTTTATCAAGACAGAACTATAACAGGGACCTGCAGAAGGGAACAGACCTTCCTGTCCCATCCCAGAAGAAACAGGAGTTCCAAGGATCTGTTGTTCCAAGTGTCAGCTTCTCTAGCAAACACTTTTTTTTTTTTTTTCCCTGAGTCGAAGTCACTCTGTCACCCAGACTGTAGGGCAGTGGCACGCTCCCGGCCACCGCAGCCTCGACCTGCTGGGCTCTGGTGATCCTCCCGCCTCAGCCTTCCAAGTAGCTGGAACTACAGGCGCACGCTACCACACCCAGCTAATTTTTGATTTATTGTCGAGATGAGGTCTTGCCAAGTTGCCAGGGCTGGTCTCGAACCTGCAGGCTCAGGCAGTGCACTCGCCTCAGCCTCCCAAAGTGCTGGAATTACAGGCTGAGCCACCGAGCTGGGCCATCAAACACTTTTTAAAAGGCTTTCATAAATTTTGGACCCTGTGGCATTTTGAGATACCTTTATTCTACCTGATAATAAAATCTTACCCCCAATCAGATTATAAGGTTGTAGATTATGAATTTAGATGGTCAGGACAAAAACCCTGGGCAACTAAGCGTGTCCCAGCCTGCTTCACAGAGAATGTGGCTGCCTTACTCTTCCCATGCTTGGAAAGGCTGCAACATGGCCAGGCGGGATGGGCTAGAATCCTTGACCTAAGGCTGGATGTGGTGGCACATGCCTGTAATCCCAACACTCTGGGAGGCCGAGGCGGGAGAACTGCCTGAGCCCAGGAGTTTGAGACTGGCCTGGACAACATAGCAAGACCTCATCTCTACAAAACATTAAAAAAACTGCCGGGGCCAGGCTTGGTGGCTCAGCCTGTAATCCGGCACTTTGGGAGGCCAAGGTGAGTGAATTGTCTAAGCCCGTGGTTCGAGACCTGCCTGGGCAACTTGGCGAGACCTCCTCTCTACAATAAATCAAAAATTAGCCTGGTGTGGTAGCACGTGCCTGTAGCTCCGGCTACTTGGAAGGCTGAGGCGGAAGGATCGCTGGAGCCCAGCAGGTTGAGGCTGTGGTGGCCGGGAGCGGCCACTGTACTCCAGTCTGGGCGACAGAGTGAGACTCCAACTCAAAACTGCCAGGTGGGGTGGCTCAAGCCTGTAATCGCAGCACATTGGGAGGCAGAGATGAGAGGATTGCCTGAGCCCATGGGTTCGAGAACAGCCTGGGCAACTTGGTGAGACCTCATCTCTACGATAAACAAAAAAACTAGCTGGGCATGGTGGTGCGTGGCTGTAGTTCCAGCTGCTTGCAAAGTTGAGGCAGAAAGACTGCCTGAGCCCAGCAGGTCAAGGCTGCAGTGGCCAGGAGCGTGCCACTCCACTCCAGCCTGGACAACAGAGTGAGATTCCAACTCAAATAATAATAACAATAATAATAATAATAATTAGCTGAGCATGGTGGTAGGCACCTGTAGTCCCAGCTACTTGAGAGGCTGAGGTTGGAAGGGTCACCTGAACCCAGGAGGTCAAGGTTGCAGTGAGCTGTGATAGTGCCACGCACTCCAGCTTGGGTGACAAAGTGAAACCTTGACTCAAAAAAAAAAAAATCCTTGACCTATACTTATGCTATCCAGTACAATAGCTACAAACCCCATGTGGCTGTCAAACATTTGAAATATGGCTAATCTGAACCCAGGTGTGTCATAAGTGTAAAATATATACCAGATTTCTAATTTTTTTGGAGTGGGAGTCTTACTGTCGCCCCAGACTGGAGTGCAGTAGCACGCTCACAGCCACCCCAGCATCGACCTGCTGGGTTCTGGCAATGCTTCCACCTCAGCCTTCCAAGTAGCTGGAACTACAGGCACACACCACCAGGCCTGGCTAATTTTTTGATTTATTGTAGAGATGAGGTCTCCCCAAGTTGCCCGGGTGGGACTCAAACCTGCGGCCTCAGGCAATCCTCTCGCCTCAGCTTCTCAAAGTGCTAGGATTATAGGCTGAGCCACTGCACTGGGCCTAACATTTTGATTTATTGTAGTGATGAGGTCAGGCGATCCTTCTGCCTCAGCCTTCCAAGTAGCTGGGAACTACAGGCGCATGCTACCACACCTGGCTAATTTTTTGATTTATTGCAGAAACGAGGTCTCCCCAAGTTGTCCAAGCTGGTCTTGAACCCCTGGTCTCAGGCAATCCTCTCACTTCAGCCTCCCAAAGTGCTGAAATTACAGGTTTGAGCCACCGCGCCCAGCCATATTTATTTATTTAATGTTTTGAGAACAAGATCTCTGTCATCCAGGCTGGAGTATGGTGTTATGGTCATAACTCACTAAAACTTCGAACTCCTGGGTTCAAGCAATTCTACCACCTGAGCCTTCTGAGTAGCTGGGGCTACAAGCACATGCCATCACACCCAGCTAATTTTTAATTTTTTTGTAGAGGCAGGGTCTTGTTATGTTGCCCAGGCTGGTCTTGAACTCTGGCCTCAAGCAATCCTCCTGCCTTAGACTCCAGAGTAGCTAGGACTACAGTCACATGCTACCCCACCTGGCTTTGAATTATATTTCCTGTAGTTCCAGCTATTTGGAAGGCTAAGGCAGAAGAATTGCCTA